CCCGCCGGGAGAAGCTGCGGCCGGTGATGTAGCGCAGCGCGTCGCCCGTGTTCGTGTGGCCCCCGTGGTAGGCGATGCGACGCGCGGCCGCCTTGACCTCCTCCCGCGAGCCGAAGTGGCCCAGCTCGAAGGCCGTGGTGGGCCGGTCGCTGTAGCGCACGACCCCCACGCGGGTGCGGTCGGGGTCCACCTCAAAGGTGTCCACCAGGTTGGCCACCCACTGCCGGACCTTCTCAAAGTCCTCCTTGCCCACGCTGGAGGAGGTGTCCAAGAGGAAGACCAGGTCGTACTGGACACTTTTGCAACCTGCAGGGGTGACAGAAGGGGGGCGTGAAAAGGCATTGTCCTTGTACCTTATACCTAAAGGTGTGGTCGTGGGGTCACACAGACTGACTCCACTACCTGCCTGCTCTGTCTCTCACGGGCTGGGGGCCTTGGGCTGCCTGAAGGGCCGGAGCCTCAGTTCCCTGTTTTTCACATGGCAATAATGACCAGTTTTCCTGCAAGGCTGCTGTGAGGTTCAACTGAGAATATATGGTATCACTTTAAAGTGCTTAATGTCCACGAAACACCACGATGCGTCAATCTCTTGACTTCTATTTTGGTTAAAAAGTGACTTCATTTTTTGTCCTTATTTTTTAAACCTACTACAAAGAATGCATGCCCATTTCAGAAAAGGCAATAAAAAAATGTTTTAAATGCTCATATTCCCAGCTACACAAAGATAGCCACTGTGAAACCATGGTGCATATACCGGATTATTTTCTATTTCCATATAGTTATTGATGGAAATGGAACTATATCAGACACACTGATATATAAGCTGTTTTCCTCACATCTAGCAATGTGCTAGAAACCCATTTCCAGTTTGATAACGCTGGTTTCCATGGCTGCAGAGATTGCACTGCACGGATGCACATAATTGATTTAGCCAGTGCTCTCTTGTTGGATATTTAAAGTTTACAGTATTTAACTATTAGAAAGCATATAAAATGTACTGCATTTCATATATTTTAAATATAAATTTATAGCAGTTCTAAAATACTTTATGAATATATACTTTTATTAAAAAATTGCATATAAATTATATGATGCTTTTGATTAAACAAAATAAGGTACCGTATAATTTATCTCTCACCCTCACAGCAACCCTGTGCAGAGAGCTCACTCTTGCATTTCATAGTTAGATAATATGAGGAGAAACCTTTTCTAAACTCCAAAGTGTTGCACAGATAGACAAAAGAACTATCCAAAAGCCCTGGTCTTTACTCTTCCAGAACATGGGCTGGGCCATACCAGCGGCAGCTGGCTAGGCCTCTGGGAACACCTGGCACAAATATTTGGCTGGTAAAACACAATAGAACAAAATAAACAAAAAATCCCACTTTGTTAAAATATGAGATTGGCAAAGGTGCAGGGCACACAAGAGTCAAGGAGAACTCTATTGCTTGCCTTGGCCACACTGGTTCCCAGGGGCTTTATAGCCTCATAAAGGAAGGTATCTTTTTATCCACCAATTTCACATGTAGTGATTTGCCCCAAGAAAACAATCAGATATGGGGTGCGGGGGAGAGATGTTTAAGGAATTTCACAAAAGCATGTGCAAGAAAATCCTGGACACAACCTGTACAATCACCCATATGGAATCACTTAAATAAAAATCATTATACGTTCATCCAGGGACATGCGAGGCAGCTATAATGATGATGATTGCAAAGGAATCCTTATCAACCAACATGGACACATTTTTCCAAAATACTGTTGGGTGTGAAAAGCTGTTTACAAAATATTATGTATAATATGATAAAATTTTTGGAAAGAAACCCTGTGTTTTTGTGTGTCTGTGTGTGCAATTGTGTGAGTATATACATAGAAAACCTGAAGGAGGAAACATTGCTCACCTGTAGCAAGCAGAGCCATGAATAAGGTTTTTTGTTTTTTTTTTTCTGCTTTTGTATTTGCAAGTAATGAATTAAGTTCAGAAAACAGAAAAGCAATGAAGCTATATGCACAAGGGCTCTTCAAGAACTTCATTGAACGTGTTATACTGTAATCCTATTTTTCCGCAAACTTTTTGAAGTACCCTCACAATTACACGCACACACGCACACAGTTTTTTTTTTTTTTTTTTTTCTGCTTTTGTATTTGCAAGTAATGAACTAAGTTCAGAAAACAGAAAAGCAATGAAGCTATATGCACAAGGGCTCTTCAAGAACTTCATCGAACGTGTTATACTGTAATCCTATTTTTCCGCAAACTTTTTGAAGTACCCTCACAATTACACGCACACACGCGCACACACACACACACACACACACACACACACACACGTCTTTATTTGGCCTGAGTCAATGCCACTCCCGAGTATTCCACACAACCTTTCTCTCTAGTTTTCAAAATCTAAGTTATAGCCTTCATGTCGGGAGCTGAGCTACACCCCAGCCTTAGCAGATTGATTCCTAACAGGATTAGAGCTTTTGGAGTGTATGTGCCCAGATATATGGACTCAGAGATAATTCCTGGGGCATTTTTTTCCTTGACACAAAAGGTCATTCTTTTGTCCTTGGGACAATACTGTCCCAGCCTGTTCAGGATAATTGCTGCTGAGGGCCAGGCAGGGCCCAGCCTGGGAGTTGTAATCCTAGAGCAAATTTGTTGTAAGGCTGCAGGTTTGTTTCTTCAGGAGGCCTCACTGAGGGACCCTTTTGAGCTCTGGGTGCATTTTCTCCTGAAGACCAAGGAACAGACTGGATTGTGGGCATGTGAGAGCAAAGCTAGATGTGGAGAGAAGGGCTCTGAACAGGGCCAGCGCCCTGGCTTCTGGCCTCGGCTCTGCTGTGGGCGAGGGCCGTGCCTTGCCTGCCAGGTGACTGCTTCTCTCTGGCCTGCTGTTTTCAACTCTGAGAAATGAGGACATGGAAGAGACGATTCTAGGGCCTTCCCACTTCTGAATCTGAGAACCCTGTGCATTTGGGGTTGGCTCGATGGACACAGAAGCCCCATGTCCCTCATGTGTGAAACAGGATGTCCATTGTCACTATTGTCTTTCCAGCTAGCCAGACTTTGAGAGGCTCGGGCAAAGTAAAATACACGAGAGAGCTTTGTAAAATTGATAAAGAAATAATGTAAACTTGTTTTCTGAGGTCCAGGGATACAAGCTTTAGCACATCACTTCCTGTGTTCTCCCAGCCTCTCTTTACCTCTCAGTTCCTCATCTGTAAAATGGGAACAGCACCGTATGCCCCAGATCTATCTATTGCTCTGTCTCTCTCTGTCTCTCACACACACACAACCCATTCTCACACTTACACACTCACACTCACATCCACACTGACACTGTCACACATCTTCTCACACTCCCACACACAAGCACAGGCCCTCACTGGGCAGATGATCACACACACATCGGTGGGAGGACAGCTGACACATGTATGGGATGACTGACACACTCTCTCTCACACACACACTCACACCCCAACTCACACATGCACAGACATGCACACTGGCTGATCAGTCCCCAGCATGGTGTAGCTGTGATGTCCCCACCTGCCCGCTGGGCCTGGCAGCCATTGTCCCCACTCCAAAGCAGCAGCAGCCAGAGAAGGCAGGCTCCAGCATTCCCTCGCAGGCCAGCCATGGCTCTCTTACTCTTGGGGACAAGCATTTCTTGGCCAGGAAGAGACACCATTAGGGTCTACTGGAGCATTTCCTGTGTGGAGAAAGACACATCTTTAGAGAAAGGGTCTCAAGCTGAAAGGTCACAAGAAGCAACCTTGCTTCCTTCCAAGCTGACTTTGGAAGGCTGAGTAGGACTCTGCCAGACAAAAGGTAGGGGATCATTTCAGGCAGAAGGCATGGCATCTGCAAGGCCCAAGGGAAGCCAGAGCATGGTACTTAGGGAACTTTCCTATGCAGGACGGGTATGTGAAGTCCTCTCAGGACATGTATATAAGTTATATAATCTGGCCCCACCACCTTCAGGGAAAAGGGCACTCTTCCTACCAGGGCACTAAAAGTGACCTCACAAGTGCACAGGATATAAGAGCCTGAATGACAGTACTCAGAGAGTCGCAAGAGGCAGCCACAGTAACAAGAAGAAAGGTACTGTCCCCAAATGGAATATGCAGGGGCATTCAGAGTTCCAAGGTCTGAGGATCTTGAAGACACAGAAGCTTAGCAAGTCAGAGCTTCCTACCACACTCATCCTCGAAAGCTAGGGCTTGTCTCTTGTCCATTCTACTGCCCAGCACATAGAACAGTTCCTAGAACATAATAGGCACCTAAATAAATAATGGTTTATAAATGAATGATAAATAGCCAGCGTCTGTGGCTCCCTGATGCTGTCACATTATCTTATTACCTTGAGCTGGCCATGAGTCATTCATTAGAAGAATATAAACATCATAAAAGAGCTATGAAAGCTTCTGAATTACTACCATTTATTGTCTACCATGTGGCAGGCACTGCCTGATTGTTGCATGATCTCATGTGCCCCTTCAAGGCAGGCATTGTCACTTGCATTGGGGTGAAGTGGGGGACTAAGATGGAAAGAAAATATGCGTCTCCACCTGATCAACCAGTTGGTTAGGGAAGGGAGTGGGATTTGAACTCAGGCCTCTTCGGGGCACTAAGCCCCACAGTCTTTCTGTGATTTTTATGGATATAACAAATTCAAATATTAGCAGCAACTACTGAGCCATCATTTTTTGTGTGAAATAAGAAAGATGGTGGATGGGAGATAAGAAGTTCATTGTTGTTCGGTGTTATCCAGGTCAAGAAATTTGATCATTTTCCTCACTGCAGAAACTGGGCTTCAGGCAAGTTGTACGCTCCAAGTTTTTAGAAGAATCTTTGTCATGCATCTTTCCAAATACACACACAAGAAAGAGAAAAGTACAGACCACTATCCCTTATGAACAGAGATGCAGAAGTACATAGCAAAAGGCTAGCAAAGCAAATTCAGGAGCATATTTAAAGAATTAGACACCATGACCAAGTGGGATTTATCTCAGGAATGCAAGAGTGGTTCAACATACAAAAATCAATGAGTGTAATACAACCACATCAATAGAATGAGGTGAAGAAAAAGCACAAGGTGATCATAATTGATGCAGAAAAAGCATTTGACAAAAAGCCAACACCCCTTCATGATAAAAGTAAAATAAAATAAGATTATAAGAAAATATCTTCAAAATGATAAAGGCCATACATGAAAAACCCACACAGCTAACACCACACTCAGTGGTAAAAGACTGAAAGCTCTTCCTATAAAATCAGGAACAAGACAAGGATACCCTCTATGCCACTTCTATTCAACATAGTACTAGGAGTTCTAGCCCAAGCAATTAGACAAGAGAAAGAAATAAAAGGCATCCAACTTGGAAAAGAAGAGGTAAAATCATCTCTATTTTCAGATGGCATAATCTTAGATTTAGAAAGTCCTAAATAATTCACAAAAAAAACTGTTAAAACTAAAAAACAAATTCAGCAAAGTTGCAAGATATAAAATCAACACTCAAAAATTGGTTGTATTTCTGTATGCTAGGAATAAATAATCAGAAAAGGAAATTAAGAAAACAATTCCCTTTATGATAGCATCAAAAAGGACAGAATACTCAGGAATAAATGTCACCAATGGGGCACAAGACTTGTACACTGAAAGCTACAAAACATTGCCAAAAGAAATTAAAGGAGACCTAAATAAATGAAAAGACATCTCATGTTATTGCTTAATGGTTGACAGAGTTTTTGTCTGGGGTGATGAAAAAGTTCTAGAAATAGTGGTCACAACTGCATAACATATGGATGTAATTAATGCCATTGAATTGCACACTTTAAGTGATTAAAATGCTAAAGTTTATATCATATATGTGTGTATATACAAACACAATACAAATAAATAAATAAATAAAAGATGTTCATATCTCAATCCCTGTAAATATGTTATGTTACATGGCAAGTAAGAATTAAGGTTACAGATGAAATTAAAGTTGATAATCAGCTGATAATAAAATATAAGGATTAACCTGGATTTTCTGGATGGGCTTAATATAATCACAAAGGGCCTCATAAGTGAAAAAAAGAGGCTGTCAGGACTGGAGATGGCAAACTGAGAAAGACATCACCAGCCACTGCTGGCTTTGGAGTTGCAGGAATGGGCCACAAGCTAAGGAATGCAGGTGGCTTCTAGAAGTTGAGATAGCAAGGAAAGGGATTCTCCCCTAGAGACTCCTGAAGGAACTTAGTTCTGCCAACACCTTGATTTTAACCCAGTGAGACCATTTTGGACTTCTGACCTCCAGAACTTTAAGATAATGAGTTTGTGTTGTTTTAAGCCTCTACATCTGTAGTGATGTTTCACAGCAGCAATAGGAAACTAGTACAGACACCAAGTGGTAGTGAGGGGTGAAGGGATGGGGAAACTGTGAGTGCCCAGGACAGAGTGCTCCCTGCCAGGGGCATCTCCCACCTCTCTGATCTCTCCACCAGCCTTCTGCAAGTGTTTGTTCAGGTTCCAGCAGGGCCACTCTGTCATGAGCCTGAGCAGGCCAGGAGGGGAGAGCCTCTTGGGGCTCCATCTTCTTTCCTTGGAAAGACTGTGAGTCCTGAGACTTAATGGGAAGACAGCAAAGGGGACAAAGGTCCCAGGAGCTCCTCCATGTACTGAAGGCAGACCAATTAACCTGATAGAAAACATGAGTAGAGGGATCTGTAATAGCCTAAGAGCAGCCTCACACCCTGGTTGCAGACCATGACACTTCCAGAGTCCCGTGTGGGGCAGCACCTCTCACGTTGCCATCACCCCATCAGCACCAGGAGGAGAGATGCAGATCCACCAGTTCTGATGGTCAAGGGGAGAAGTTGACAGGGAGCTTAGGAGCATGGGCTCTGGAATCAGACTGCCTGGTGGTACAAATTTTGGTTACTCATTAGCTCTGTGATCTCAGAAAGTGGCTTAACCATTCTGTGCCTCCGTTTCCTCACCTGTAAAGTATAGATAATAACAGAACCCACCCCATCGGCAATTGCTGTGAAGAGACTGTTGTATGGATTACATAACAAAACTGCACATAAAGTCCTTACTCAATGCCTCAGCACTCCTAAGGCCACATCACTGGCATGAGCCAGAGCTAGGACTCAAACCCAAGACTTGCCTGTTTCCAAAGACACGCACAGCCCAAACTATCTCCACACCTGGAGTAAAGCCTGGCACTGGCAGAGTCCTATGGCATGGCCACTATACACTTCTATCTTTATGACAGCCCCACGGTGAGCACCAACACCCCAGAACTATTTACAACTTAATCCTAAGTTCCTCCAGGAGGAGTCTGTGCTGAGCACCCTCATTTCACCCAGGCCTGGGCTAGTTACCAAACCTGGAGTAAATAAATATTTGTTGAGCTGAAAATTCAACCCCAATTCTTGGTTCTCTAGGGGAAGGGCTGGGTGAAATTCATGGTGCCTGTGTGTGCACTGGAAGTGAGGTGCCTCATAAAATATCCTCTCTAAGATCCCAGCAAACTTGCAAGGCAGTGTTATTAGCTTCACTTTACTGAGGATGAACGTGGGGATCAGGGAGCATAGATGACTTCCCTGAGCACACACCACTAGCAATGACAGAGCTGGTCTTGGCATGAGGTTTGAATGACACCAAAGCACATGTTCTTTCCAGCACTAACTATTAACGTGTATTATGTACTTACTAAGTGCCAGGAACCGGTAAGGGCTTTGGGAATTCTTGGTTCTCTAGGGGAAGGGCTGGGTGAAATTCATGGTGCCTGTGTGTGCACTGGAAATGAGGTGCCTCATAAAATATCCTCTCTAAGATCCCAGCAAACTTGCAAGGCAGTGTTAGTAGCTTCACTTTACTGAGGATGAACGTGGGGATCAGGGAGCATAGATGACTTCCCTGAGCACACACCACTAGCAATGACAGAGCTGGTCTTGGCATCAGGTCTGAATGACACCAAAGCACATGTTCTTTCCAGCACTAACTATTAACGTGTATTTATGTACTTACTAAGTGCCAGGAACCGGTAAGGGCTTTGGACACGGTAACTCATTTAATCTGAACAGTGGGTGTGATTAGCCCCCTTTCAGAGTAAGAAGCTGAGACACAAGAGGCTTGAGTAACCCTCCCATGACTCCACACTAGGTGCCAGGATCCAGTCGCAGGTGGCCTGACCACGGGCCCATGCTCATAATCACTCAGCAACACTGCTTCTCTCGGCACACTCGGAATCTGGCTGATGCTTGGAATCTTATTTCTTAAGCACAGAAACAATGAAGGAAACAAGCAGAGGATACAATCAAAAAACAAACTGTGCACCACCCTGTTCACAGGAAGGAAGCGGCAAGGGCATCAAAAGGAAAAGGGAAGAAATTTCAGATAATACTGCAGAGAGAAGAGAACAGCCTTCCTCAGCCTGGGGATGTGCTGAGTTACACTAACTGATTCCCAAATGTTGAATCAACCCAGAATACCTGTGATAAACACCACTTGGTCATGGTGTGCAATTCTGTTTATACATCCTTGGATTTGATTTGCTAATATTTTGCTGANGAGGTTTGAATGACACCAAAGCACATGTTCTTTCCAGCACTAACTATTAACGTGTATTATGTACTTACTAAGTGCCAGGAACCGGTAAGGGCTTTGGGCAC